CCCCCCGACGACGCCAGCTCCTCGGCCTCCAGCTCCAAGATGTGCTCGTCGGCTCGCGCGAGCTCGCGCTGCTGGATCAGGCTCAGGATCTCCAGCACTGTGGGGGCAGAGCGGGAGGTCAGGGGGAGCAGGGCGCGGGGCGGGGGCAGAGGGGGAGGCGAGGGGGCGAGAAAGGAGCCCGGGACGTTCCGGGAGAAGAGGGGTGGGTGAGAGAAGGTTGTCGGGCGAGGGATGGGGGGCAGGGTGAGGGAGGGAAGTGGAGGGGCGGAGGAGGGAGGGAAGTCAGGGGAAGGGGGGGGAAGGGGGTGAGGCAGAGGGGAGAGGGGCGGGGGACGGCACAGGGTATGGGAGAGTGGGTGAGGATAGGGGGAAGGGACCAGGATGTTTGAGGGGCGAGGACAGGGAAGGCACCTCAGATCCGGAGAAAGGGATCCAGGGAATGGGACGGTGCGAGGGAGGCCAGTCTGAGCCAGGTAGGGGGAGCCGGTGGAGAAGCAATGGATCAAGGGGCAGGGTGGAGGCCAGGAGGTGGGGAGAGGAGAGCAAGACCAGAGAGGGTCTTTCGGGGGGGGGGGGGCTGTGGGGGTGATCTGGCACTGTGCGTTCCGACTCCCCCAAGAGACACCCCCATGGAGTTGGGAGGCCTTCGCGTGCAGGCCAAGGGAGGGTCCTGGTGGCCCAGGGTTACCCCGACACCTCCACCCCCCTCCACTTCCTCCCTGGCAGAGAAACTTGTTTCCTGGCCAGCGCTATTTCTGCCCATCCGTTTCCAGAAGGCGGGGGCTCCAGTCACCCCCTCCTCGCCTCCCTGAAGTGCCCTCCCAGTCCCCTGGGAGCCGGGGCTGAAATAGCTCCTGGCCAGGATGTGGGGCGAAGTGAGGGCTCTCCTGAGGTCCCCGGGGGCTGAGGCAGCATGCGTTGGGGGGTGGGGAGGGGGGTGTATGAAGGTGGACGGAGCCAGCCCCAGGGATCCGAACCGGAGTCTCAGAGATGGGACTGAGAGAAGGGATGAGGGGACAGGAAAGGAGCTGAGCTTGACATCTGGGGCCTGGGACGGTGACTGGGGGCGGAGATGAATTGAAGCGACGGCTGAGGGTGGAAAGAAGGGTTTGGATGTGAGTTTGAAGATGAAAACCGGACCTGAGTTGGGGCCGGGAATGTGGGTGGAGGTTGGGAAGGTGGGGGGGGGGGGGGGGGGGGGGGGGGGGGGACTCAGGGTCAGGGTGGATTAAGGGTCAGGGATTAAGAATGAAGGGAGAGGGGTTCCCCGGGTGGCTTAGTCAGTTAAGCTTCTGACTCTTGATCTCGGCTCAGGTCGTGGTCTCATGGTTCATGAGTTGGAGCCCTGCCTCTGGCTTTGTGCTGACAGGCTGGAGCCTGCTTGGGGTTCTCTCTCTGCCTCTCCCCCCGCCCCCCCCCCCCATGGTCACTTGCATGCTCTCTCTCAAAACAAACAAACAAATAAATAACGTTATAAAAAAAAAATGAGGGGCCCCTGAGTGGCTCAGTCGGTTGAATGTCCAACTTCAGCTCAGGTCATGATCTCACGGTTCGTGGGTTTGAGCCCCTGCATCGGGCTCCGTGCTGACAGCTCAGAGCCTGGAGCCTGCTTCGGATTCTCTGTCTCCTTCTCTCACTGCCCCTCCCCCGCCTGTGGCTCTGTCTCTCTCTGTCTCTCAAATATAAATAAATAAATGTAAAAAAAATCTTTTTTAATGGAAAAAAAAAAAATGACGGGGGAGAGACTAGCTTGCCGTTGGGGTTGAAGGTGGGTGCTGACATGGGCCTGGGTCGGGGGTTGGGCGTGAGGCTAAATTGGGCACCAGGCTGCAACCTGCATGTGGGAGGGCACTGGCTGGCCCCCGTGGTGTTGACGGTTCTTGGGCACAGAGATGAGGTTAAAGGTGGTGTTTGGACAAAGGGATAGTGGGGTTGGAATAAGGATAGAGTAAAAACTCAAAAAGGCATTGAAGAGAAGACCCTGGGGCTTGGGGTAGTTTGGGGCTGAGGATAGAGACGGGGTGGGGGTATGAGCTGAGTTGTGCCCCCCCCCACCATCACCAAGAAAAAACACGTGTGAAGTCCTAAGCCCCCGGTACCTCAGAATGGGACCATCTCTGGAGACAGAGATGAGCAGAGAGGTGAGCAAGTTAAAATGAGGTCGTAGGATGGGCTCTGATACGGCGTGACTGGTGTTCTTACACAAAGGGGAGATTTGGACACAGAGACAGACATGCATCGCGAGAAGATGGCCAGCCAAGCACCAGGCACAGAAGAGTCGAGGAAGGAGTCCCCTATGCGTGTCTGAAAGGGCATGGATCCAGAACCGAGAGAATAGATTTCTATAGTTGAAGCCACCCGGTTTGTGGGGTTGTGGGACAAGGTTACAGCAGCCTGGAGAACGTAACACAGGCCGTGGGGACACAGTGGGGAGACGCAGGTGGGAAGTAGGCGCTGGGCGTGGCGGGGAGTTCGAGGTGCGGTTTGGACGTGAGGTAAGGATGAGGTTGAAGCTGGGGGGTGGGGGGGGTGGGCTGGATTTGGGTTTGGGGTTCAGAGTGGGGTGGAAAAGGAGAGGAGGTTGGGGGTGAAGGAGGAGGTTGGGGTGCAATCTGGGGCCAGGGTTGGGGCTGGCGATGGGAAGGGGGTGGGGTACAGAGGTTAGGGAGAGGCATAAGGTCAAGGTTGGATGTGGCTACATGGAAAGGAGTGGAAAGGAGATGGGATGGAGGCTGAACTTGAAGGGAGGGAGGGAAGGAGGGTTGAAATTGGGGGTGCAGAAGGGATTAGAGGAGATGAGACCAAAGTTCATGATCCTTATCATAGGACATGGGGGTGAGGTTGAGGCCGGCAGGCGGCTGGTGGGATGGGTCCGGGGTGGATTGGGGGCGGGGTGGGTTGGGGGTGGGTGTGGAGACACAGCTGCGGCCAGGACTTGGTGATAGAAATCAAGATTTTGGGGGGAGGGGGCTGGGCGGGGGGCTCCCGACTCACCTGACAGAGGTTCCTTCATCTTTGGGGGCTCAGGGACCTTGGGCGGGGGCTCGGGAGCTGCCTCGCCTGCGGGCACCACCCTCTCAGCCAGTGACGCGCGGCGGGGCTTGGGCCCGCGTCCCAGTCTCAGGAAGGCCAGTCTCCGGGCGGCCTCCCCAGCCACCTCCTCATCGCCCTGGGCTCGGGTCCCCTGAAGCCTGGCCAGGAGGCCAAAATCTGCTGAGCTCCTGCGTATCCCTGGTGTCAGCACTCGGCCCAGGAAAGAGCGGGGCTGCCCATCTCCGGGGCTGCCTGCCCGCCGGCCGGGGGTCCAGCCCAGCCGGAAGGGGGCCAGGCCGGCCAGCTTCTCCAGGGTGGCACGGCGGCGACACGATGTTCCGTTGGGCAGGCTCCCCAGCTCCCCAACCTCGTCTTCTTCCGGTCCCGGAACTTCCTCAAAGGGGTTCCGAGAGGACCTCAGAGGCAGCGTCCCCGCCCGGGGCACCTTAGGGTTGGCCACCCCTAGACTCTTCAGGATGGGCATCTTGACAGGCAGGGACCTGGGAAAAACATTAAGTGGTGTTGATAATTAACGCCTCTGGGTGCCCGGCAACGCAGGGCCTGCGTGCCAGGCACTGGTCTGAGAGCATTCACTAATCCCATGAGGCTAGTGCTATTACTACATGCCCACATGGCAGATGAGGAAACTGAGGCTCAGAGAAGCAAAGGTGCTTACCGAAGGCCCCACGGTGATTCAGGGACAAAGCCAGCATTCGCCCCCAGGCCTGTCTGATTACCCTGACCGTTAGCGTTCAGACCCTTCCCCTGCCTGACTTCCTGTCTGGGTGCTCATCACCTCTGTGGACCCTCCCACTCTAAGAGGAAACAGGCTCAGAGAGGGGAAGGGTCCGTCCCGAGGCGGCACAGCCAGCGAAGAGGAGACTCGGGCCCCACCGTCTACCCGGACATCAGTCACACACATGGGCACCTGCCTCGTCTCTCCCCCGTCCAGCCAGCACACCTGTCACCTCTATCCCGCCTTCTTCTTTGCCTTAGCAAAGCCTTACTGGGAAATGTCCAGAGCAGGCAAATCCAGAGAGACAGAAAGGAAGTGAGTGGTGGCCGGGGACTGGGAGACGGGGGTGGGTCTTAATGGGCGTGGCTGCTTAACGGGTACAGGTTTCCTTTTGGGACATGAAAATGTTCTGGAACTACATAATGTGGATGGTTAACAGCACTGTGAATGTACTAGAATGCCACTGAATTGTACGCTTTCAAGTTAAATTTTTAAATAAACTTATTTACTTTTATTCGTGAGGCGGGGCTCGACCTCACGAATCGTGAGACTATGACCTGAGCGGAAACTGAGAGTCAGACACTTAACTGACTGAGCCACCCAGGGGCCCCAAGATTTTATTTTTAAGTAATCTCTACACCCAACATGGGGCTCAAACTTACAGCCCCGAGATCAAGAGTCACACGCTCTACAGACTGAGCCAGCCAGGCGCCCCATAACTTGAACTTGATGGGGCACCTGGGTGGCTCAGTCAGTTGAGCATCCAACTCTTGATTTTGGCTGAGGTCATGATCCAGGGTCGCGGGATCGAGCCCTACATTGGGCTCCACACTGAGCATGGATCCTGTTTAAGATTCTCTTTCTTGATAAACATTTAAAAGATTCTCTCCCTCTCTCTCTCTCTCTCTCTCTCAAATAAAATAGAACAAAATAAAGTGAATTTTATCCCACCTCCTAAGTCCCTCATCTCCTCCCTCTCCATGGCCCCTGCCCCAGTCCAGGCCCCCTCCCACTTCCCCCCTTTCTCCCTAGTCTCCAAGCTCTCGCCTTGGCCCCTCCAGCCCACCTTTGAGGATCTCGTTAAAGCACAAACTTGCCCTGCTCTTTCTCTTAACCTTGCATGGCTCCCCAGTACCCTTGGCGTGAAATCCAGCTGCCCTTGCCTGCCAACTGTGCACCTCACCAGTGCTATCCCACATTCTCCCCCTCCAGGCTCCTCTGGGTGCCGGCGTTTGTTGATCTTTCTACCTGGACACCTGTTCTCCCTGTACCACTCAGGCTTTAGGATCCAGCCCCCAAGGCCCTGTCCTCCAGGAAGCCCTCTGTCATGCCTAGGCTGAGTCGAGTTTTCCCCCCTCAGGATTTTCCCCATCCCAGCCCTCCCCACTCTGAGTTGTCAGTGTCTGGGGATGAGTCTGTGTCCCCCACCGGACTGTGAAGTCCCTAGAGGGACAGGGTCGGGCTGTCTCAATCACCACTGTGTCCCCAACTCCCAGGGCAGGCGCTCAGGAAATGAATGGGTGCTAAACAGGAAACAAAGGAAGGAGGAAGGACCTCATTCCTTGTGGGTGAGGAGTCAAGCTGGAGAGGTCAGTACAGAGCAAGCCATGCAGGGCCTCGGAGAGGAGAGCCGTGAGGAGGGACTTGGGCTTTCTCCCGAGGACACTGGGGAACTGTGGAAGGGCGCTTTTTAAAATGATGAAATCGTTCAAAGATTCAGGAATTCAGAAAAATTTAGAAAACAAATAAACACCCCCTCTGCTTCCAATCCTAGCTGCGTCTAATGCAAACATTCTATTTTGTGGCTATTCTGTTTCTATGGCTCAGGTTTGGCTGTTGTTTGGGTGTTTGTTTGTTTCGGGTGGTTTTTTTTTGTTTTTTGTTTTTTTTTTTTGTTTTTTTTTTTTTGTTTGGTCTTTTTTAGAATCGAGCAGTACAAGATGCACTCCCCGCCCCCAGCTCTCCTCCCTTGCCCTCTTCCCAGGACAGTAGCATCCAGAATGCGTGTCTCCCCAGGCCAACCCAACTTTTACTCTTAAGTCTCCCGTAGCCTTGCATCTAGAAACAATGTATCGTTTTACAGGGTTTCAGAACCGCTCTGTGAAGGCTCTCCTACTACGTGTATCCAGCAACTTGCGCTTTGATGGCGGTGTTTGGACTCACATACACGGGAGAGGTATCCGTGCCTATCTCGGTGGCTCTAGTCGATTTAAGTGTCGCATTACTCTTCCACTGTCTGGCTTTGGCAAAACTGTGTGAAACGTCAGGGGTTTCCCCACTCACCTCCTGCTAGACACATAGGTTGTTTTGAACTGGGACAGGTTCCGAGCAGCTGAGGGACAGGGTCGGGATTGGGCGGCCCCTTGGGGGTGCATAGACCATCTGGAAGGAGGCTGATGCTCAAAGGGTCCCCGAGCTGGCTGGGCCGTGGGTAAGAGCATCTTCCTTTCATGGGGGAGCACCCCCCTGCTTCTTTCCTCCCTGACTTCAGCCTCTGGACCTCAGCTGTCGTTCCTCAAGCCTCTCTCCAGTCTCCATGGTCCCCTGTCCTCCAGAGAGGCAGTCACCATGGCAACCCTTGCCTGGAGCCCCCATGGCTGTGGGCAATCGATACGAGCCCCCCATGCACACACCCACAAGTCGTGCACGGATTTCTCTGTCTTTCATTATCCCGACTGGCTTCTGTGTGTTTCATCCCACAAATGGCTTCACCGTGTCCCAGCCCTGTGTCCATCGTCCCCCCGCCTCCGAAACTCCACATCCCCCTTCTACTTCCCTGTAACAGAAGCCAACATGACCCAAACTGGATCTGCCACTCCCCCACTGGCTCCCACATCCATCCCCAAACTGGATCCCAATACCCCCCAAGCCATTTCCAACATCCTCAGACCCTGCTGCAACAGTTTCTCCAAAGTGGCCCGGCCGGCTTTCCCTTTCCAGGCTCCACCACCCTCCACCACCCGCCTCTGCTAACTGGCTCCTCCGACATCCTGCCCCCTCCAGCCCCCTCATCTGCCTCCCAGTGCCCGGGCCCCTGACTCACTTCCGAGGCATCCCTCAAGCCCCCAGCCTCCCGACTCCCACAGGATGTCTTGGCCACCAGCGCTTCCCTCTCTGGGCTTCGGCTCCTCCCCCTCCTCCTCCCCCCCCCCACCTCCTCCTCGCTGCCAGCCTTTCCCCAAAGCCCTAAACCCTCCACCGGCAGTCTGACCTGTTTGCAGAAGTCAGCACCTCCAGCCCCCAAGTCTGTATCTGAGAACAGCCCTTATAAAGTGTGCGTCCATGCTGGACCCCAGCCACACAACCCCAATCCAGACCTCACCCCCAAACTATCCCATCATCAGCCCAGCCCGGTTCAAGCTCATGCACATCTTCACTCCGAACACCATCTCCAAGCCCCCATCTCTTGGGGATGGAGAAAAGCATCCACCGCTTTCTCCCAACCTGAAATCCGAGGGCATCAGACGCTTTCTCTCCTTTCTCCCTTGGTGGTCCCAGCTCTGTTGGCTCCTTTGAAGCTTCTCTGGATCCCCAGGGTCCCCAGATTCTTCACTGCACCCCCCTGCGGTCCCCGGCTCCTCCTGCCCTGTGGCTGGCACCCTCCTGAGGCCAGGCCCCACATGCTGTCTTTGCCCCCAGCCTCTCCTGGCTTCAGGGCACATGTTCTCACCACCTCTGGTCCAGCCCAGGTCCAGGGGGGAGCCCAGGCCAGGGCGCAAGAATCCTGCCCCCTCCTCCAGCACACTCACCTCCTCGTCAGCAGGCGCCTTCGTCCCTCTGTCCCTGCTGCTGTCCTGCCCTGAGGACACTTCAGCCAGAACTGCTGAGAGCTTGGAACTGGGGGGGGGGGGGTAGAGGAGGTCAATTTCCTGTCAGGAAACCCCTCCCTCTCTGGGGCCAGGGGCGGGAAGGACTCTTTATCTGTCTGCCCTTTTAGGCGAAGCTGGGGTTGGGCTGGGAAGGACAAGGCCACAGTCTGGCCCCCCCCCCCCCCCCCCCCCCGGATTCCCCCCCCCCCCCCGCCTGTTCTTCACGCCTTCCAAGGTGACAACACCATCCTGGGCACCCTGGGGAGACACCCAATGCTGGATGCGGGCCCAGAGCTCTCCTTCGGGTTCCTGGCTCTGAAATAAAGACAGGGAGGAAGGTTCTGCTGGCCCAGAAGCTGCGATCAGAGGCCTGAGGGCGTGGGTGGCACGGGGCAAGGCTTTGGAACTATAGTCCTCTCCCCTGTCCCCAGGTCCCTGTATGGCTCCCTCCTTCGACATCATCCTGGCCTCGGCTCCAGCCTCTGTCCCTCAAAGGAGACATTCCCTGAACAGCAGAAGCCCCTTCTCCCCCCACCCACTTCCTCTCTCCCCAGGGACTGGCTCTGATTCCTCAATTCCTTCGTATCACCTTCCTCAATTTGAACGATCAGATTTCTCTGTCTCCCTTGTAGATTTCCTGACTCTCCCACTTGAACGTAAATCCAAAGCAGATTTTGCTTACCTCATTCATCTTTATATCCCTAGATGTGCGTGTGGCACATAATAGTAAAGGTTTATTAACCGAATGCACACATGGGGATAGATCAGAGCTAAGGATTGGAAGTTGGGGACGCATATGGCAGGTGCAGTGGGGGGGGGGCGCGCGCTGGGAATGGGTTGGGGGTTGGGTGGGGTTAGATGCAGGCTTTGGGTTACTTGTAAGGCTGGGTTTCAGGTTCAGGTGCTCTTTTGGGCGCTCAGGCATCGTGTCGCAGGTGTTAGGCCTGGAACAAGGGATCACTTGCCTAGGCAAAGTTGGGGTTGGTGTGGGGTTAGGATTCGGGCTGGGCTCAGGAATCCCTGCTTCTCCCCCAGCCCCAGCAAGGGCTCTATAGACACCTATGCTGGAAGAAGTGGGTCAGGGGTTAAGATTCCAAGATCTGAAGGTCTCAGTTCAAGACCTGGATTTGCCAGACAATGGGCCCTGGGGAAGGAGCCAGGTTGAGTGGCCCAGATTGGGGGGGGGGGGGGGAAGAGGCTTTGTCCTCACCAGGTCCATGTGGACCCATGGAAATCAGAAGGCAGCGACTAGATCTGGCTGGAACCAAATGACCTGTCGTGGGCGGTGACAGCTGTCAGATCCCCCCTCTTTTTTTAACTCAATATTTTATTGAGATATAATTCAGGAGCACCTGGGTGGCTCAGTCGGTTGAGGGTCTGACTCTTGATTTCAGCTCAGATCACGATCTCAGGGTTTGTGAGATTGAGCCCCGCGTTGGGCTCCTTGCTGTCAGCTGGGAACTTGCTTGGGATTCTCTCTCTCTCCCTCTTTCTCTGACCCTCCCCCACTCATGCACATGCGCGCGCGCGCGCACACACACACACACACACTCTCTCTCAAAATAAACTTTAAAAAATTGTTTTAAAAAGAGGTACGATTCATATGCCATAAAATTCACCCTTTCAAAGTGCCCAATTCAATGCTCTCAGTATATTCACAAGGATGCAGCAACTGTCACCCTATCTAATTCCAGAACATTTTCATCACCTCACAAAGAAACCCATAGCCCTTTAGCAGCCCCCCCTTCCCCTCTTCCCCTCTGCTCCCAGCCCCGCGGGTTTCCCTATTCTGGACATTCCATATAAAAGGAATCACAGTAAGTGGTCCCTTGTGTCGGCCTACTTTCGCTAAGCATACTGTTTTTAAGGTTCATCATTTTGTAGCCTCCCCCCTTCATTTAGCCTCAGTCCCCTCATTTGGGAAATGGGGTGGGGACAGTACTGGGGTGAGGGGGGCGGAGCCAGGGTGAGGCCTGAGGTGTGGCGGGCAGGTGCGTGTAGGGAGGTGATCTGCTGCCCCCGCGTGGTGCATTGGAGAACTGCGGCTCTCCGCGCTAAGCCTAGGAAGGAGTGACTCAGCTCCCCCAACCCATCCCCGAGACCCCACCCCTCACCCTGCAGAGCCCTTGGGATCTCAAAACTTCTGGAACACCATCCTGGACTCCTCCCTCTCTGCACCCCACCATTCCTGAGACTCCTTGGGCCCCATCTGCTGAGTAACAATGGTAATGTCACCCGCTTACGAAGTTCTAATATGTTCCCATGTGAAGCATTTACATATGTAGTCATTACATACATAGTCTCTTACCGCAGACTGAGGTTGCTACTATTATGGTCCCGGGACAGGAAGCCCATAGTGCTTAAGAGCCCAAGTTCCAGAGTTTGGAAGCACTTGGGTTCAAACCTCAAGCCTGCCTCTCACCAGCCACGTAACCTTTCAGCATGTGTACGTGGGGCTGAGAATGATGGTCCAAACTCACAAGGTGGCAGAAAGAATAAAGTGCTCAGAGCCGGGCACAGAGGAAGCTTCTGTGAGTTTACGTAGCTGATAGTATCAACCGGTGATACGCTGATGAATGTTTGACAACCTGCTCTCTGGGGGTTGGGGGGGTGGGGAGCCTCGATTTGCGGCGTTTGCCATCTTCCATGGTGTCAATCGTCCCGCCAGGGCTCATTCAAGTTACCAAGCTTGGACTCAGTGATGTGAAGCCACAGTGATGTCAGTGAAAGCACTTTGGGGGGAAGAGATGCACAGAAGCTCATTAGACAGTTGTTTCACTACGAAGGCACAATAGATGTAAATCACCGCAGGATCACAGATAATAGCAAAACGTAGTAAAATAATTAGGTTGGGATGCGCATTTGTTACCTTTGTTTTAAGTGTAATTTATTTAATTACGTGTTTGCATACTTTAATTTTTTATAATGGCTGTCTTAACCGGTTCCAAAATTCCTGAGCCTTTAACAGGCAGCTCGCTCGAGCTGACTCCCAACACACTGGTGTGAGCATCACACCCATCTTTCAGAAAGGCAAACTGAGGCTCAAGAAGATGGTCAGACAGGGGCAGGGCATGGACCCGATCCAAGGGTTGTGGGATTTGGGGGGGGGGGGCAGGACTGTGCAATGCTCCTCTTTCTTTCAGGCCACCCTAGTCTAGAGGGGATGGGTGGCCCCCACTGCAGAACCTCAGGGAAGCCCTTGCCCTCCTCTGGTTTCAGCTTGCCCCTCCCGACAGCAGCTGCACCCGGCAGGTGCATACCTACACAGGGCTCTCTGGCACCTGCTTCAGCCCTGCCAGGAAGGCAACATGTAGATCCTTGCTCTCGCTTTGTAGATTGGGGAACTGAGGCCAAGGAGGGGCCAATGCCTGCCTTGAGTCACAGAGCTATACGGAGAAATCCTCAGACCCCAGCTGGGGTGCACAGGAGAGGGGCCCGCAGCCACAAGCCTGGGCTCTGGAGTTTTCTGGGAGGTGGGAGGGCGGCATTGCTAGAGATCGTGGTCAGCCCTGGGCAGCGGCTCTGCCTAGCACACTACGCCCCCAGCGCCCTCAGCTCTGTTCCCAAGAACTTCCTGGGCCCCTCGACTGAGCAGAGGGTGGGCTGGGAGGGAGAATGCGGACAGCGCCGCCGTCTGTCTGGTTCGTGTCTCTCGGGACTTCTCTGCCTCGGTCTGTCTTGTCTTTTTATCTCCGCTCTCTTCACAGGTCTCTGCGTCTCTGTGTGTTATCTCTTTGTCTCCTTTTGCCTCTCCCTCCGTCCCCGTGTGGGGTCTCTCAGTCTTTGTCGCTCTCTGTGTCTCTGTTCTGTCTCTGTGTGTCTGTCTTTCCCTATGTTTCTCCCTCCTTTATTTATTTATTTATTTATTTATTTATTTATTTATCTATTTATTTATTTAGTCGCTCGGGTCTTTTGGCTCCCTGTACATCTCTTTGTATGTCTGCGTGTCTCCCTACTTCTGTCTCTCTAGCCTTGTGTCTCTTTGTCTCTCTATCTCTGCATCTCTCTATCTTTCTCTGCGTCTCTGGCGCTCTGCCTAGGCGTTTCTCTCCCCTTCTCTTCCGGTGAGTCTCCGCTCTCCTGTGAGAACACGCTCCCTACCGACGCGCCCAGACCTGCCTCCGCCCCCGGAGCCCCCGGCTAGCCCGGGCCTGCGCCTTTAAGGGCCGGCGGCAGTGGGCGGGGTCTCCGCGGCCCCGCCCTGCCCGCCCCTCCCCCTGACGTCCCTTCCTCCCCGGCCCCTCCACCGCCTCCCTCCGCCGCCGCCCGGGCCGGCTCCGCGCCCCCTCCCCGGCCCCCGCCCGCCCGTCTGCCCGCCGCCCCCATGGCGCCCCGGGCCGCCACTGCGCGGGGCCACTAGGACCCTCGGCGTCCCCTTCCCTTCCCCGCCCTGCCCCCTCTCCCGCGGCGCGAACCCGGGTGTCCACAGCACCCAGCTTTTGAGCTCGCGTCCCCAGGCCGGCGGGGGGGGAGGGGAAGAGAGGGGACCCCGGGACCCCCGCCCCCCCCCACCCGGCCGCCCAGTCCCCCGGGACCCGGAGAAAATGTCTTCGCGGACGGCGCTGGCCCCGGGCAACGATCGGAACTCGGACACGGTGAGTGGGGCCCGGCCCCTTGGGGAGCGCCGGTCGGGTTCAGCCGCCGAGCCCCTCGTCCTGGTGTGCCCCGCGCCGCGCGAGCCCCTACCTTCGTTCCCCCGGCTCGGCCCAGCGTGCCACCTCCCGACCCCGGCCCGGACTTCCAGGCCTCTCGACCCTCCCCCACTCCAGCCCAGCCCGACCCCTGCGGGCGCCCCTCTCCCGGGACCCCTCTCTTGTCCCTCTGCAGACCGCTTCCGCTCGGGTCTCTCCCCTCCAGGAAGCCCCCTCCCCTGCCTTCCAGGAGCCCCTCCCTTCTCCGCGTGTTCTTAAGCCCCTTCCCCTCCTGGCTGCCTGCATCCGACAACTCGCCCCCTCCAGGATTTGCAGGGCTCCTGACCCCAAGGCCCGGCCCTGGCCCTCTCCCAGGAAGGCCCGGCCCAGTCCCGCCTCTGGCTCCGGCCTTCCCC